CTGGGTGGAGGATGCTGCCTTGCGTTGGATATCCTCGTATCTGTCTGCTCGTTCTCAGGCTGTTCGCTTGTCTTATTTCTTGTCTGATCCCCTCCCTGTAACGTCTGGAGTGCCCCAAGGTTCCATTCTGGGTCCTTTGTTATTCTTGCTTTACGTTAATGACCTACCTTCAGTTGTCCCCGATGTTAGTTTGTATGCGGATGACACTGGCCTTATCTGTTCTGATTCCTTCCCTGCACAATTACTCCTTACCATGCAGCATCGCATCAACAGCACTGTCATGCGGATGCAAACGTGGAAACTCCAGCCCAATTTAGAAAAGACTGAAGCCATGTATATTTCTTCATCCCCTCCTGATCAACCATAATACTTCCCTGACTCGACTATGCCTATCCGTGTTGTTACTCAGCACAAACATCTAGGTGTGATGTTTGACTGCAAACTCTCTTGGGCTGCACATGTCAACTGTGTATGCAAGCGAACCAGTTCAGCGTTAGGGGTACTACAACCACATTGCACTCACTTGCCCATCCAGTGTAAACTATTATTTTATCAGTGCTATATTCTCCCTATATTCGACTATTGCGATACCGCTTGGTGTGGCCTTTCTGACACAACTCTGAACCAATTAGAAGTCCACCATAGATTTATACTTAAAATTCTTTACAACAAGGATCGATGTTTTCCTTCGGATGCCCTTTATCGACTTGCACACACTTCTCCTCTCTCCGTTCGTCATAAGCACCATCTCTGTACACTGGTTCATAAAATATTTCTTCATAAAACCCCTTCCCACATGATGAAGTACAATTAGTTTTCGACAAGCTCAACCCGTAACGCGCTCATCCTGCCTCTTGTTAAGTCAGCCCAGTATCTAAAGTCCCCTTTGTTTTCCGGCTACTCTCATTGGTTATCATTACCATACGGTCTGAAAACTTGTTCTTCTATTTGTCAGTTTAAAGATCTACTATCACAACTGAACTAGACGCAATAATTATCATCGAAGAACATTTTCGAATACCTGGGTGATGCACGAATTTTGATAGTGCTCACTTCCGTTAATCGTTTTTCTTTGTAATTTTCCATTCATTTTCTGCTCTAATTCATATTTGCTTTGTTTTCCTAGCTTACTATTGCCGTGGCTGGCTCAACGCCCTTGTCTCAGGGGATTCTGTCCCTGCATTAGCTATGCTTGTCACATGCTATGTGATTGTGTCTAATAATAATAATAATAATAATAATATCAATTTGTAAGGAAGGGTTTGCTCCCCACACCGGAGCGAGCGAGCTCCGGTGTGGGGAGCAAACCCTTTCTTACAAATTATCGCCGAAGTCGCAACCACTAATTTGTAATAATATCAATTATTATTATTATCAGGCTCGGCCTCATTTTCTCATTCATTGACTCCACAAAGGACGAAACATTTCTGTCCGCAGATTGAGTAATTCGCTCCTGCTCTTGTAGCAGTACAGCACTCTCATGTGGGGTAGTGCCCTTGCTGTTTGCATTATTCAGAGATCACAGACTTCTCAGTTTGAGCACTCTGGCAAAGCTACTTTCGGGCCAGGTTTAAATCTGGCCTTGGAAAATCTATTTTTCATCGCTATCAGGTTCGGCCTCATTTTCTTTGTACTGCGCTGATGAGTCCAACAAGGACGAACCAGTTCTGTCAGATAGATAGATAGATAGATAGATAGATAGATAGATAGATAGATAGATAGATAGATAGATAGATAGATAGATAGATAGATAGATAGATGGATGAATGGATGGAGGGAGGGACGGACGGCCGGATGGATGAATGGATGGATGGATAGATAGATAAGATGGATGGATGGATGGACAGACGGTTGGACGGACGGACGGACGGACAAATAGACAGACAGACAGACAGACAGAAAGACAGACAGACAGACAGACAGACAGACAGACAGACAGACAGACAGACAGACAGACAGACAGACAGACAGACAGACAGACAGACAGACAGACAGACAGACAGACAGACAGACAGACAGACAGACAGACAGCCGGACAGACAGACAGACAGAAAGACAGACAGACAGACAGACAGACAGACAGACAGACAGACAGACTGACAGACTGACAGACAGACAGACTGACAGACTGACAGACAGACAGACAGACAGACAGACAGACAGACAGACAGACAGACAGACAGACAGACAGACAGACAGACAGACAGACAGACAGACAGACAGACAGACAGACAGACAGACAGACAGACAGACAGACAGACAGACAGACAGACAGACAGACAGACAGACAGATAGATAGATAAATAGATAGATAGATCGATAAATAGATAGATAGATGTCGCCTTGCAACCAAAAACCGGCTCGCTAAGTATAACGGAATCACGAAAAACCGGACATGGACAGAGCAACCTGATGACCAATGGAACCTGACATACTGCACCGTAATTGTTGTGTCAATGATTCACGCCAATATCGCACCTTAATGGCCTTGCACCCTCTGACGCCAGGCATGCGCTAATGAAGTACAGATTTACGGGCTCAATTCAGCGCATGTTACAATTAAGGACAATTGATATCAATATTTTACACTGCCTCCACCTAGCAGCACCTCTTCACTCTTCAAGCTTCATGCTTTCATTCTGTGCGCCTTGCTGTGAGGTTGTGTATATCTTTAGTAGACCTGACAGACCTGCTTTAGCTAGAAAAGTTGATTGACGGTTGAAAACTCTAGAAACTCGGAGTAGCAACGGGTTGTATTTTCTTGGTGAGGACCGCTTCCATTGTGTACTAGCTCGAGTGCACCCTAGCGCTGTTGAGCCCTCTTTGCGGTGGACAGGACCACTTCCCCCTGTTGATAGATAGATAGATAGATAGATAGATAGATAGATAGATAGATAGATAGATAGATAGAGTAGTTCAAGATCCATTCCCGTACACTGTTCGTTTAAAGCGCGCTTCGCTTTTCTCTCCAACTCTGTAATTGTGAAATCAACTTTCTTCTACATTGTTGTTGTTGTTGTTGTTGATTTTTATTTTACTTCGCAAGGCCAAACGGGCAATGGTGCCCAATTCTATGGAAGCGATTTAAAAAAAAGGGAGAGAGCTACGGGGAGAGAGAGAAAGGGAGAGAGAGAGAGAGAGAGAGAGAGAGAGAGAGAGAGAGAGAGAGAGAGAGAGAGAGAGAGAGAGAGAGAGAGAGAGAGAGAGAAGAGAGAGGGAGGGAGGCAGGGAGATGATAAGCAATTTTGCAGCGTCAACAGAGCGATTTTGCTTTGTCCATAGAGCGATTTTGAAGTGTCAACAGAGTGAACACAAAGAGTTCATTGAGGTATCGGACAGAAGTGCCTTCGCTTTCTCCAAATGGTGTGTTTGTTTCATTGCCACTAGCTTTCCACTCTTATCCGGGGGCTTGATTATATTACTCGAGTTGCTGCGAAGTCATGCTAGCTCCTCGCCCTCCTCTTTGGTAATGGTTTGCTTCCGGGCCGGTGTGCGTTGTAAGTTGCCAGAACGTCATCCTTGAAGTTAGGAAACTTCCTCTCCTCTGAGCCTGGATCAGAAGGCGACAGAGCTTGCAGGAAATTGAGGGAGGCTGTGGAGATCAGAGATTTGGCTCCGACGATTAACACTAACGCTGGGTGGTCGTTGCTGCAATTTGTATCGCCATTCGCGTATTGTCTGATTTTCATGATTTTTGGCGCTGAAGAATGTTTTTTTTTGTTTTTGTTTTTTTACCTCAGCTGTAGTCCCCTCCACTGATAGTCAATGTTAGCGCTATTAGCTGAACTCTTTTCGCGCTGCTTCCCACACCCTCTTACTGACAGGGGTTTGGCCTTTATATATGCTGGTTTGGGAGCTTGCACATTATTGTGAAGCTATTGAAGGCATTCTGCATAAGCGAAGCTGTGGACGCAGCATACTGCTGCTACACTTCAACGCGGGAATGCGTATAATAATAATAATAATATTGAAGGCAATTTGCCGAAACGTTGGAATGATAATTGTGAAATGAGTTGAACTAATGCAGTGTTAATGGATGAGAGCGTGTGGGCTCTACTCTCATCTGTTTATGAAACTGCAATAAGCCTTCCCACTTTAACTTAATAATAAATGCTGGTCATATCCTGGCCTGGCGTGTGTGGTATGTGGGGCCATTTTGGTGCTTGAAAAATGTAGGTTCCTGGCTCGTGGACTGCTGGTGTTGCGATGACCCCTATCCACTCACTAATTTTGACATTCAAAATTTCAAAATTTGCAAAATTTGTGACATTCGCTTTTGCACTCATGGACACTGGGCCTCCTGGCTTATGGAGGGCTACTATGCAACATTATGACGGCTCACATACAATAGTGCTCAAAACCGTCATGGGTGGATGGGTGGATGCACAACTCACGCATGTATTGTAGGCAGGAATTACTTGTGCCTATCGTGCCACGGACAGTTCCAGAATGATTGTTAAAAAACATTTTCGTATTGTGGGCAACAACCACCACCCCTTTTGTGCGGGTTAAATGATTTTCAACAATGTATCGATTTACTATAGTTGACTCTCAGTAGTTGATAAATATGGTGGTAAAGACACACCTAGCAATATGGCGGTAAACACACAGAGAGAAGGAGAGCTCTCTGACAGAACTTTGCAGCTTTGAGAGCGTGTGTGGGCAGTCGTGGGTTTACCGCCATATTGCCAGGTGTGTCTTTACCACCATATTTTTCAACGATAAGTACAGCTGCAGTGGTGTCTTCAACTTCCTTCTCCTGGCCCTCAGTAGAACTTCGTAATTCAGTACTTTTTGTGCATTCGATAATACTTTTTGAACGGAACTTCTTAAAATATCGCACTCCAAAGGTTTCTTTCGTGTAAATAGCAATTGGTAAATTTGGATAGCCTCTAGATCCCATATTTAACTTTTCTGAATGAGACACATGGACGATATGAATTTTTCTGAAGCGGGTAATGAAGGAGATTTCACCTTGCCCTTTGTCTGCTGTTGTTCAGGAATCTGGAGAACACGAAGATGAGTACTTTACCCGTGAACTTATTTGTGACTAACAGAAGGTTGCGTCGCCTGTAAGTGTTACTTGTACCGTTATATTACTTAGTAGTAATAGTGGTTGGACACCAGCAGTTGGTTGCCTGTTGGTGAATTATATTCTTCTTCTCTAGAACAAACAGTCATATGTAGCCTTATTTTCTGGTAAAGTGAATTGCCCAATCTCTAACAAATGAAAACAAAGGAAAGAAAGGAAACCCGCGACTTATTTGTTTTTTGCCTTTTTGGTTATGAAAGCTGTCTGTTGGAAGGAAAGAAAATTATCATGTATAACCCATGACCATTCTGGTCGTAGGGGCGCCATGTGTATCATAAGGCAGTAGCATCACAAGAACAGGAAAGAAGAAGAAAAACCTACTTGTCACTTAAATAAAGGAAAAGGACTAAGGAACTACAAGTTACGCTATAATGTCCACTAACACCTCAAGTTACTAAACAATCCGATCACGTGATAACTGTTAGCCAGTTAGTTGTAGAACGTGAGTACCGTCTTTAGGTGTCGTGCAATGTTATCGCATGAGCTGGTTATTAAATAACTGGTGGTGTTAGTGGATATTATAGCGTGACTTGTAGTTCCTTGGTACTTTTTCTTTCCGATAATTATATGTATCCTTGGCTGTCCATCCGAGTTTCTTGCACTCCTGAAAAACGTAACTACTGCACTCAGGTAAACAAGCTGCCTATACCTATCACTGGCAGCAGCAACGAGAGAGAGAGAGAGAGAGAGAGAGAATTGTAAGATTATTTGGTACAGTCATTGATGTTGGTGAACCAATTGTAATGGGGCGACCACGGGGTCTTGATCCAGGCACCATTTCATCCAAGAAATAGTGGCAGTAGCAATTATGATGCCTTGCTACATGTCAAAACCACTTCAACATAATGATAAGAGTATTATGAGAGTGTAAAGAATTCCAAATATGAGACGGAAGGAGACAGAGATCGAGAATACCTTATTGCCTTGACAAGTGAATTGTCTACGCTCTCACAAAATATGGAGTAAGCAGCAGCATTTGGCACTGTACAGATTTTTCATCAACAGCCACTCAAGCACTGCACTCTCCAGCCGACCTCAACACGCTGCCCAAGCACACAATCAGCAGTCGGCACATCCGTTGGTACTCAATTCCTTCATGCCGATTTTTCGGGTATAATTATAACTCTCATCAGTGAAGGCGCATTTCGTAGAATGGCTATTAACGATAGTGAAAATAACACTTCAGTACAGAAAGGGGTAAGCATGATCCCAGCGCGCAAGAGGCGCGAAGATTGGGGCTAAGCAAGAAAAGCAAGTGCAAAACGTTGTGAAACACTAACCTGGGGATGATGTAAAGCACAACTACTGGTTGAGACATGAGAGTGCTGGTAGCCAGGTGAGACATTGGCAGACCACAGCATAGCAAGTAGCAACACCAAAGGCCAATGGGTATGCACACCATCAACTCACTAACCCCACCCCATCTAACCGCCGTCACGTCACGGCCATTCTTAGTTTCCATGATACTGCTGTGCACGTACGTGACGCTTAGAAATGCAGTGCCTAGGGTTCCCAGTAAAAAGGCAACGCCTGTTGGGAGTTCCCTAGTAAAATAATAAATTCTACTACAACTACTACAGTGGCAGTGGTGAAGAAAATGACGGAAAAAGGAAAGGATCATTGCATGAAAGTTACCTTCAAACGTACAAAAATAATACATAGATTATTGTTCATGGCTATCAGGTTCCGCCTCATTTTCTCATTTATTGAGTCCACAAAGGACAAAACATTTCTGTCCGCAGATTGAGTACTTCCGAATTCGCTCCTGCTCTTGTAGCAGTTGAGCACTCTCATGTGGGGTAGTGCCCTTGCTCTTTGCGTTATGCAGCGCTCACTGACTTGTCAGTTTGAGCACTCCGACAAAGGTACTTTCGGGCCTGGTTTAAATCTGGCTTTGGAACATATATTTTTCATAGCTATCAGGTTCAGGTTTTTGTCAGGCGAAATAGCACGTCATAGTACATTTGAGATCAGCGGGAAGAAGATGACGACGTCCACTAATTTAGTATCTGTGCACACGAATCTGCTGTGTGTGTGACTCTGTGTGTCAGCTATGATATCATCTTCTGTGGTTCCATGCCTAGCATGTACGTCTGAACCATCCTGCGAAGCTTGAATGACGTAGGTTGAGCGATCGCTCCGCGAAACATACTTTTTGAAATTCTCTTCATAGTATATCTTCCACCATTGAAATTTCGAATTTCTTCAAAAAAAGTGCTTAGAGGGGTGGCTTGCAACCTCGATATGGCTTGTTCCAGGCATGCTTTGGAGCCATCTTCTGTTGAAGTAGTGGCGGGGATCTGCCCTGCAACTGCCACAACAAAAAATGATTCGATCTGAGAAAGGGTGAGACCGCGAATCTCGGTTGAATATTGAGAATTTCAAGCCTTTTCACGACGAAGATGGACTTCTTTTTGGAGATGAACGTCGCGGTAAAGAACATGGTATCCGACTTCTGGCGTCTGGTGAAGCCAGGGATCATTTGTCCAGTTAGGTCGGCAGCCTAACTGTCGGTAAGCTTGTGTTTGGATCCCGTTCTGCTCGATGTGGTAGATGACAAACAATTTGATATCGCACAAATTGATCTCAGCATCGTGCGTACGGTATTTTATATTCAGAAAATCCTAAAGTGTCTCTGTGTGGCCGTCCTATGCCACGAGAAACTCCAATCAGGCTCCAATGTCCTCTGCCTTGATGATTGAATGTCCACTTCGTTTGAACAACGAACACAACAATTGAGGACGGCTTTGCAATGAAAAATACAGCTATACTGGAGCTGAAAAAAGAAAGAAAAAAAATCCCTCAGGATGAGACTCGAGTAGACGCATACTCTCCCAGCAGGTGAAACGCAAATTTTTGTGAAAAATGCGTGTCGCCGAGTGACCAGTAATTTCGCCTGACGCATAGCTATCAGGTTCAGGTATCACTCCACAGCAACGTGGGTATAAGGGCCGGCCCAGATCGTCGCTGGTCGGCACCCTGAACCAAGACCTGCTCAGCATCTGGACGACCTAAGACAGTTTGCTGCGGATCGCAATGGATGGCGGCAGATAATCTGAAGAAGTCGCCACAACTGCCGGATATGGAAATAATTATTGGCCAGAGCTAGAGAACAGCAGCGGAAGCCTGTATAGCACGGCTGTGCATGTTGTACGTGTTTCTGTGTTATTATTATAAGTCAAGTTTTTAAATAGGCGACGTGGAGACAATAATCTCAATAATGCAATGAATATAACTAAATGCGCATTCATATCACAACCATGGGGAAAATTTAGCCACGAATTCCATTGATAATTGTGACAAGAAAACGTTCTCGAATACATTATTCGTCCCCATGGTTGTGATATGAATGCGCATTTAGTTATATTCATTGCATTGTAGTCAATTTTTTCTTCAGACTTTTCACGTTTGTGTCTTTCCCTCAAACCAGTGAACATTATTATTATCAAGTATTATTATTTGTAAGAAAGGTTTGCTCCCCACACCGGAGCTCGCGCTATTCCGCCGACTTTACTTGACACTTGACTGACTCACGACTGCCATCCAGAGCACACGAGAAGTCCATCGAACCTTCGACTCGGCAAACCTGCAAGAAAGCACCACTCCCTGCTCAATACACAGTGTTTCGGGGAATTCACCCCTCATCAGTTGAGCTTGAGTAGGCTGAGGAAGATTGTGCCTGAAGAGTGCCTGAAGAGCACCACTTAAGCGGAGCGTCTCTGTAAGTTTGTATCCCTGGTGATGTTTGTGCCTGGAAAGCACTATAAGTGGTGCTCTTCAGGCACAATCTTCCTCAGCCTACTCAAGCTCAACTGATGAGGGGTGAATTCCCCGAAACACTGTGTGTTGAGCAGGGAGTGGTGCTTTCTTGCAGGTTTGCCGAGTCGAAGGTTCGATGGACTTCTCGTGTGCTCTGGATGGCAGTCGTGAGTCAGTCAAGTGTCAAGTAAAGTCGGCGGAATAGCGCGAGCTCCGGTGTGGGGAGCAAACCCTTCTTACAAATCATCGCCGAAGTCGCAACCACTACTTCGAAGTATTATTATTATTTTTAGAATTGCGATCAACAGAAAGAGGTGAACCGACATTTCACAAAGGCGTTTATTGTATTCAAAAAACGAATGGATATGAAGGCAGTGAAGAACACGGAAGAAAGAAAAAATGTGATATGGAAGAAATGATAAACAAAAAATCGTACTTCGAACTAGTTTTCGCACAACACTCCTCAGGAAGCTACGTTGTACTAATGAAAAACAATCCAGAAAGATACTAATACAGTTGAACATCGATTATCGAACCACCTCTGGGCAGACAACTGTCAGGTGGTGTTCAGATAAGGCAAATGTTCCGGATAAGAAAACACACTGTAAATACATGTACATGTACATTGTAAATAGAATAGAGTGCTACTTTTCAAAATTTTCGTATTTTTTGAATGGCTTACTACATGCACAGTGCGTACTCTACGGCACGTGCGCCCAAAAAAACTGTTACGAATAATCGAATGGTCGGATTGTCGATGTGCGGATAATCGATGTTCAACTGTAAAGAGAAATGGAGTGAGAAGAAACAACACGTATGAAAATGATAATCCTAGCACTAAGGTAATAACAGGAAAAACTGCGAAAGCACTTAACGAACTTGTAAGGACTACTAGTGTACTGTGACACAAGATATGACACCTTGGCCATCCAGGGCCAAACAGACAGAACAAGCTTCTACTAAAACAATTTCAAACGAATATAGCTGTCCTTCTGGACACACAGATAAGGCTTATGAATACGTTGACAAACAGCTTCTAACACACTCAACTGCAACTTATAACCATGACGAGCACGGTACAAAACAGAAAAAGAAGAATCAGAATAAACTTTGCAGCAATCAGGACGAGATACAAGATGCTTATACAGTGATGACTTCCTACTAGAAAACACACGCTCGCACACTCTTACTCACACAATCATTCTCGCTCTCACACTCACC